TCGATTGTATCCCTGCCTCATGGCAAACCCCATATACCACAGGACTGAAGTGATTTGTGCACAACTTCCAACTGTCTGGGCACCTACTTTACATGTACACTGACAGTACCAGCCACTGATGGGTCTAGTTTCACTACTGGAGGCCTGAATCCATAGGCTGTACTGATGGCTAGATGTGTGCCTTGACTGTATTTATTTGGCTCTGATTAAATCAGGTACATCCTTGCATACGCTGGTTTCAAACTGGCCATCTAGCAGATGCTCATTGGTATACTGCAGCTGGCTCACTTGCTTTATCTGGTAAATGCTTGGTAATTAATTATAAGCTGATGGTCTCTCGTTTGGAGTGTTTACCAAGTCAGTGGGTTTTCACTAATCTCCTTGACGTGTTTAATAGTAGGGTACACCAACTCTGGCAAAATTAATGTCTTGTAAAAAACTGGTCCACAGGTGCCCAATGAACAGCATCAAATAGAACAGATCAATGAAGAGATCCTTCTCTGTGCACAAAACAAAATCACACACATGAATGTTGTACACAGCCATTTGACCCTGGACTTGAGTGAAGTAGCTATGTTTCTGATTCAAATATGGCCTGTTGTTTTCGTCTAGCTTTAAACATGGCAGTTTTTTTGGTAACACAGGTCCACTAAAGCTGTTGTGTAGATTTTCTGCACATATCCATCTTGAAAATACCGATAAGCTTTCAGACATTTGAACGCCCGCACAAATTTCTTATCGTATGTCCTATCCTTGCTGTCTGTGAGATACATTTTCAGTTCTTTCATGGAAAAGTCACCAGGTATGTCTGTTAAATTTCTATTCCAAGTACTCGCATGAATGTGTTTTCGAAAAAAATCGGGTGTTACCATGTTACAAATCCTTGAAAATTCAGATCAAAACAAGCACTCGTCAATATGGCGTCCATCATGTACACTCCACACTTGCCCCTTGAAACTTCAAATCCCGCAAAATCACGCGTTCTCACAGAAGAATTTAGCGGAAGTCATGAAACCGTGGAAAACAATGTATTGAAACACACCGGTGGGCCATCTTCTGTCCAACCTGTATTTCGTCGTGTGTGTGGTCTTTGTGAGGAATTAGTCACCCACTGTGAAAAGTTACCTTGATACTATTTTTGTGGGTTGGGGAATTGAAGACTCTAGTTTCTACCTTGGCCATCCATGTTTGCAACAGTTCATTACTTTAATGCTGTTGATTGAGAGCGTGTTCTAATTGTACTGTGTCTAAATTTTTTCAGTATCATGTCATGCTGTGTTTGTTTTGTTTGTGGCATGCTTTTATTGTGTCTGTCCAGCCCAGTAGCTCTTATTTCCTTGTTTTCCTCTATTCTCGGATTTTGTGTTACTACGATATGTTTGTTTGCTGTTCCCTTAAATTCTCTCAGACGCCTATAATTTGTTGAAAAATTTCCCTTCCTGAATTTCCCTGTTCTGTCCATGTGATAGCCTCTTCTAAAGTTGTAGGCCAATCTCTCTATTTGCCAAGGCACGAACGTATGCCCTGATGACAAAACGCTCAGTTTCTCCCTGTCTAGGGACAGTGAATGCTCTATTATTGCTCTCCCTGAATCGCCTATTGAATGTTGTGTTTCGAAAGCTGTCTTAAAACTTCTAACTCGGCTTTTAACCTTTCCTCCTCATTTGCCTACAAAAATTACCTTTGTATGTATGATTTAATAGCCGCCCACATTGTCCCATTCCTATCTGCCGGTGAATTTAAAAATCTTTCTATTTCCCGCCTTAGAGCTCCTTTTGATGTTCTAGTGACCAACTTAACTATATCCCACAGTATGTCATGTATTCCTAGGTTAACAACATCTATCTCATCTATACATGCCCTAACCTCTGAAGAAATATTCCCGTCACATGTCATAAAACCACTTACCGCTTCCTGCAACCTGGAGTTCATCACCTGCCGTCGATGCTGTCCTTGTATGTCGTGAGTCATAACTGGTAGAGCTTTTGCAAGTTGGGTCAACTAGGCAACACCAACCAGTTGTCCTCCTCGAGCCATTGTAGTTAAGTTTTCTGTGCACACTTGTGGAGTACTGGACAAGCCCTCCAATATATGTACTGAACATACTAACCGAAAGAAGTTTTCACTCACAATCATTCACTTACGCTCACTTACACAAGTAAACTTTTCACTCTCACGATCGATCCCAGATTCATTGGTCTTAAACTTGTAAGTGCATGCCACAGAAGCCAAATCAACCGCAAGGATAAATCAATGTAACACTGATGGTCTCTCGTTCAACAAGTGACCTCGAGTCCATACAAACAGTGGCTTTTTATACAAGTTTTCTTTATCTATCAGATCTTATGCCGATTCAGTGCTGCGAGCCCATGCGCAGGTTGCGTGGCAAAAGTTAATTATTTCTTATTACATCATTATGTTGCCAGGACTGTCTCTGGACGATCCCCACATCTATATTAAGAAGGGGCCACCACAGTGTATGTCTGCTATTATAAAAATTAATATAACTTTGAATATGTGAAGCACATTTTACATTTAATCTTTCTTAATCCTAAGAAATAAGAATAGAAATAAGGTATACTTACTGTATTTGAACACTATATCTTATCCATATTTTCCTTTTTTTGATAGCATGCATTACATGAAAATGAATGTTCTGTTTTTGGTTGCAACTAGAAATATTTTACCAACTCTAACCCCCGTTTTCCTTTCATAGACCTACATTTTTTTGAGTTGTTCTTTTTGTACAAAAGATTCACTTTTTCTGTCTACCATCCTATGTAAGCATTTAGCAGCTACCTCATGGCAGCAATAAATATGGCCGACTGCTAGCATATGGACTGAAAATGTCTACATAAGTTTGAGTAGATATCAAGCCCTACCCACCCTGAGCTTCAGAGACAACTTGACACCAACCTCTTCACTATAGCCTATCTTCATTGTGTCAAGTTACCTCTGACCACATTTGATTGCCAGCACCGCCCGCCAATCAAATTTAAAGCCTGCCCTCAATGACTCATCGAACGATCTAGCCAATGAACGCGAACAAGTCAAAGCGCACTTTGTTCAAATCTGGACCAATCAAAAATAAGGCTAAATATCAGGGACTTTGTATGCCAAACAGAAGTGCAATTATATTTTAGTTTGAAATGCCATGGCATATATCCTTCCCTTAGCAAAATGAAAAGTTTGCAGCAATAATGCAGCAAATTTGCTGCAAACTAAAAGTTTGCGGGAGTTTGCAAGAAAAATTTTTATTGCAGCTAATTAGCAACAAAGTTGCAATAACAGCTTTAGTTTGCAGCAGGTTTGCAGGAAAAGTCTTTATGTTCTGGCAAATTAGCGACAATTTAGCAGCAAATTTGCAAGAACATATGAAGCTTGCAAGAAAGTATTCAAGTTCTTGCAAATTTGCTACATATTTTATTTTGCAAATTTGCAGTGAATTTGCGAGAAACTTTGCAGCAGGCTTGATATTTTGCTAAGGGTTGTTTACTGCCAAAACTATTTCTCAGTATATATATATATATATATATATATATATATATATATATATATATATATATATATATATATATATATATATATATATTTTTTTTTTTTTTTTTTTTTATTAGATACATTAGTTACAGTATTATGTTGTACATGTAACTTGGTTATTGCGAGAGGCACTTGTATGCTATTGACAACTTTGCCATATCTTAATAAACAATGAAAGTGAAAGATTACTTTATGAGCATAGTACTATTGTATTGTACTCGAGTGACTATGAATTTAAGTTTTCCATGGAAATTCATTTTGACATTTTCTGTCCACGAAGTGTCATAGACTTACTATGAAGATGTATCATAAGATTGTATCAGAATTTACTTCTCATGAAAATTTTAAAGCAGTAACTTAGAACATTGTCTCTAACAGCTTTCTTTATTCAATTAAGAGCTCATACAAATATGTATGTGTAAAACATACATGTGTATTATAATATTTATGCTTGATCTTTACTTGTCTCAGTTGGTAATTTGACAAATGCATTTTATTGTTATATTTCTACTTTATTAGTATTATTGTATATAGAAGCATATACATATATTAAGTAATCTATTGACCAGAATTATGGTGAAATTCCCAACCTGGGATCAAATGAATTATTTGTTATCTTGCATTTTTCACCAATTGCTAGTATTTTATTATATAAAATTTGCAAGCATCATAATAGAAGCTGTTGATTGTGCTCTCTCCATGTGTATAATTTGTAATTTGCTGGTTGATCTTCATTGGTTATATGCCACACATTGTTGAAATTCCCATGCTACTTTTGTACATATGTGTAATAAAATGAATTGGCACAATCATCTAGCGTGTTCGGTTATGGTGAGTGTTAACATTCAAGTATTTCCTGAGAAACTTAAAAAACCAAAAATTAATCAAAGGGGTTCACAAAATTGAAAATTCCACAATAAATAAATACATTGTAAACAACATAATAAAATCCATTATATATATAAATTGTTACAAATATAATAAATTCCATTGCACCATCAAAAGACCAATATTTGCAATTACTCTGAAATTTGGGCTTCCATCAGACCACATGGACTTACATAGGGACCATTCCCAGACCCCATTGTACTAATTGTGGATCGATCTATCTTAGAGGAGATTCTCGCTAAATTGCTATCAACTTAAGTGGCTGAAATGTCTGTCATTCATGGGGGGCAATTAATTATCATTTAGCAGCTTCAGTAGGCATGCCATACATCTAAGCTGCTTCAGCTGAAAGCAATTTAGCGAGAAACCTCTTGGAGGTGGATTGATCCTGTTAGATCAATATAGGTATGGGAACCCAGTCATAGATGGCTACCGTCTGTAATACTCTCTTAAGAAATTGTTTAAAAAATACTGCACAAAATAAATAAATAAAGAAAAACACTTCAAAAAAAAACCTAACTCTTAATGGTGGAAGGGATTCATTAACCATTGGCAATTCTATTTTGTATAAAAATATCGGTCAGTCTTAAATGAGATATGCTTGCGCATGCGTACTCAGTTAGCTTGTGACATGCGGCTGGGTAGTCAGCCTGAAAATAGATGCGATCTATTTCTATCAGAATTATAATCTAAAACAAACGTAGTTTGTTTGCTTAAGTTGGAAACATTTTTGCAACGGAGTTGCAATCTTTTATGCGGCATATATATTGATCTGTAACGTAGTTACACATTGTAGGCTACGAATCATTTGTGTGCCAAACTTAATTTCAATATGGCGGCCGAAAGCACGTGTAGTGCTGTTTTACCGGGCCTTTCAAAACCCGCAATAGATACATGTAAGAATAGCGAGGACGTTAAAGCAAAGAAAGTAAAAACTAGAACAGGAAAGGGGAAACTAGACGACAAAGCAAAATCTAGTCATAACAGTGATGAATATTTAACTATAATGAAAAATATACAAGAAACTGTGCAGAGACAGGAAACGAACATTAACAGCGTCGTGGGACGCATAGATACTTTAGAGAAACAGTACCTGTATCACGATGAATATTGTGAGGAGAATTATGACTTTGATGAACAGTATGATGAAAGATTGGAGGATGAAACATGCCCGGAGGCAGGTACTAGTAGCACAAACAGATTTGATGATATGACGAAGAGATATAAATTAATAGAGTATACAGACGTGGAAGTTGACAGTGTGTTGGCGAGTAGTGTCAATGATTTGTTCACCAATGGGATAGTAGATCATTCAAAGTATACAGAACTTACCAAAGATGAAAATAACTCACGGCCAAAAAACTGTGAAAGTTTGGTGATAGTCAAAACCAATAAAATGGTATGGAACATTATTCCTCAATATGCCAAAACAAATGATAAGAAGTTACAGGATGTTCAAATGTCAGTTGTAAAAGCAGCTACGTTGATGACTAAAGGAATAGACAAACTGGCTAAGTTAGAAACAGGAAATGATACGAGTGAAGGGCTTGGAAAACTCATTGATATGTTCAATGACAGTATTGCTTTGCTTGGTCATGCCAATACACAGATTAACTGTTTTAGAAAGGATTTGTTAAAACCAAACCTCAAGCCAGAGTACAAACCTTTGTGCAATCATAACATTCCGTGCACAACTTTTCTCTTTGGAGATGATATTACCAAATCTGCAAGGGAAGTGGAAGATTCTGCGAAAATGAGTTATAAAATGATGCAGAGTAGAATGGGCTTGGATTATAGAAACCGCCCATACCAAAGGGGCCCACGATTCAGGGGACGCATGAGAGGAAGGTACAATCGTGGCCGAGGAAGTTCTTCCCAGAGGGGTGCACATGCAGATTCAAAAAACTTCTCATGGCAAAGCAGCCAGTGGGATCAGAACAGATACTAGAGGTGAGACATAAATTTCAAGCTGGTAGATTGCATTTGTTTGTAGATGAATGGAGAAAATTGACCAGTGACCCATATATCTTGGATATAGTACAAAATTGTCATATAAATGTTGATACCAACATTGGATTTCAAAACTTAAATGATATGGTGAAATATAGGTTTAACACAGAAGAAACAATTATAATCAGGAAAGAAATTTCTAAACTACTTGATCTTGGTGTTATTAAGAAAGTTCAAAGTGTACCGGGGCAGTTTTTATCTCCTATTTTTGTACGCCCTAAAAAGAATGGAGAATACAGAATGATATTAAATCTTAAGAAGCTGAATCAACACATTCCCTATGAACATTTTAAAATGGACACTTTTGAAAAGGCATTGACCTTAGTGACAAAAGGATGCTTCCTAGCATCAATTGATATAAAGCATGCATATTATAGTGTGAAAATAGCAGAAGAACAGCAAATTCTTTTTCGATTTGTTTGGGAAGGAAATATCTATCAATACACATGCCTTGCAAATGGCGTTTCTGAAGGGCCCAAAATATTTACGAAATTATTAAAGCCTGTATATGCAAAATTGAGAAGTCTTGGCCATTCTAGTTCAGGATTTATTGATGACAGTTTATTGTGTTCAGATAATTACCTTGAATGTGTTGAAAATATAAGATGCACAAAACATCTAATGGAAACACTTGGTTTTATAATCAATGCAGAAAAGTCTGTCCTTATTCCCCAACAATCATTGTTGTTTTTGGGAAATATAATTGATTCTGAAAGTATGACGGTGACTTTACCTAAAGATAAAATGGATCACATTGTACAGCAGTGTAAAATGCTTATCATTAAAACAGAAGCAAAAGTAAGACTAGTAGCTAAAGTGATTGGAATTATAGTTTCAACATTCTCAGCTGTTGAATATGGTAAACTCCATTATAGAGAACTTGAAAAGCAGAAGATAAGTGCTTTAAAAAGCAACAATGGAAATTATGATGCTATGATGCACATTACAATTAGTATGAAGCAAGAATTACAATGGTGGATGGAAAATGTCCACTTGCAAAGAAGGAAAATTGACAAAGGAAATGTTGACATTATATTGTATACTGATGCATCCAAATTAGGCTGGGGTGCTCATTTGGAGGGTCAAAAAATTGGTGGTAGATGGTTTCCAGAAGAAGCTAACCTTCATATAAATGCTTTAGAGTTACTAGCAATATTATATGCATTGCAGTCTTTTACATTTAGATTTGAAAATAAACATGTAAAGATCATGAGTGATAATATTACAGCATGTGACTATATTCAGAATATGGGTGGAATTAAATCTTATGATTGCAATAACATAGCAAAAAAGATTTGGCATTGGTGTATCGAGAAAAATGTTTGGCTCACCTGTGTCCATGTGCCAGGGAAAGATAATGTAGATGCTGATGATGCTTCTAGGAAGTTTAATGAACGTTTAGAATGGAAGTTGAATGAGAATGTATTTCAAAAGATATGTGAAAAATTTGGAAATCCATTTATTGATCTTTTTGCCTCTAGATTAAATGCGCAAGTTGAAAGATATTGTTCATGGCAGGCAGACCCCTTTGCTTGGGGTATTAATGCATTTACTTATGATTGGGGAACACTGAATTATGTTTATCTGTTTCCACCTTTCAGTTTGCTGGGTCATTGTATCCAGAAGATTCGCAAAGACAAAGCCAGGGGTATTATAGTGGCTCCTGTATGGCCAACACAGATATGGTTTGCAAAGTTGATGGAATTACTTGTGGAAAACCCAATAGTCATTCAAAAGAAAAAAGGTCTGCTAACTTTACCAGGGAACAAGCTCCCAGTGGAACATCCTCTTATGGACAAGTTGAAACTCATTGTATGCAAAGTATCAGGGAACAGTTTAGAGAACGAGGCCTTTCTGAGCAATCAACCCACATACTTATGTCATCTTGGCGTACAGGGACAAAGAAACAATACAACGTGTTCATTAAACGCTGGTTCAAATACTGTGGTGAAAGGAAAATTAATTCAATTTCACCACATGTGGAAGAGGTGATAGAATTTCTTACAAAACAGTTTAATGATGGCTTAGCTTATGACAGTTTAAATACAGCAAGAGGTGCTATTTCATCAATGGGTATTCAAATTGATGGAGTTTCAGCAGGGAGTCATCCATTGGTGATAAGATATATGAAAGGCATTTATAATTTGAGGCCACCAAGACAACGTTATGCTCAAATTTGGGATGTTAATAAAGTTCTGGTTTTCTTAAGGAAACTTTCACCAGTAAAGCACTTGACTTTGAAGGATCTGACTTTAAAACTTACAATGCTCATGGCATTAATTAATGCCACACGTGTACAAACATTGCATTTAATTTCTGTTGTTGATATGAAAAAGTTGAGTTCAGAGTTTGTGTTTCAGTTATGTGGTTTACTGAAGCAAAGTAGACCAGGTTGTAATTCATCACATATTGTGTTTAAAGCTTACCCTCCAGATAGGAGGTTGTGTGTTTATACTGTTTTAAAAGAGTATATAGCTCGTACAAAGACATTGCGTAGGCATAATGTTGATAAAAATTTGCTTATAAGTTATATGAAACCTTATAAACCTGTTCAAAGAGATACTATTTCTAGATGGATCAAAGTTGTAATGACAAAATCGGGAATAGACACTACTTTATTTGGTGCTCACAGTGTGAGAGCTGCTGCTGTTTCAAAGGCAAAAATGAATTCTGTGCCAGTGACAGATATTTTGAACAAAGCTGGTTGGAGTACTGAAAAAACATTTGCAAAATTCTATGAGAAACAAATCGAGGATAAAGCTACCACATTTGAATATGGAGTTTTAAAAAGGAAGTAATGAGCATATTCATATACTAGTATATACTGGCATGTATAGGTTTACATGAGTATCTGTTGATGATTTGTTGAAACTGTTCTAAACGATATTTTAAGCTGAAATAAAGGCCATTGAATACTGGTTTATTGATGTTTGTCACATTTTACTTTAAAGTCTCATTTAAGACTGACCGATATTTTTATACGAAATAGAATTTAAAATTAAACGAGACTTACCTTGGTTAAGTCGATGTTTGATTGTAATTCTGTGAGTGTAAAAATGAGGGAGGGCTTAAATGCCACCCTCCCCACCCAGCTTACTCAGTAATATAATTCCAATGTAATCAGCTCACAGATATAAATATATATATATATATATATATATATATATATATTTCATAATACTACTAATAGATAAATAAATAAAAATGTTCTTTAAAAAAAATGTGAAAACATCAAGCTTTAAAGGCTGAGTACGCATGCGCAAGCATATCTCATTTAAGCCCTCCCTCATTTTTACACTCACAGAATTACAATCAAACATCGACTTAACCAAGGTAAGTCTCGTTTAATTTTAAATTATGGGAAAATCATCGTTCACTCCTTCAAAAATGAAGAGTTGTTATTCCTTAAAGTATGAATTTGCAATCCTTATTTAAAAGCAAAAACAGAAAACTCGCGCTTAAGCCAAGATGAAAATCCCTTTTTTTTTCCAAAACAAACGAAACAAACGAAAAATTGTTTTTGGTCATATTTATAATTTATTTAGAGATTGTCATGTCAATGTAGGTTATTATTACCACTAGAAGTAAGATATCTGCAGTTAAAATATTGTATTTAAAGTGAACGTATATCAGTGACAAAAATCAACTTATCAAAAAATAAAACAAGTTTATTCAAATCCCAATATGGATTGGTACATGTATGTGACTTGTCAGTGAAAAAAAATTTAATACATTATTTGTTAAAATAGAAGACTGTCCTTCTTTTAAGAATAATCTCTCTGTTCATTGTCTAAAAAAGATATACCCATCAAGTAGTGTACCAGTATACTAATCATCATAGTGTGCAAATAATTGCAACAAATATAATTGTTGCTAAGTATAACAATATTGATATGTTTTCTGTTGATGGTATTATTTTATAAATATTATACACGGAGCTCAAATGTAAATATAAAATAAAGCAATAGCAAATAACAATTTTACACTGGTCTTTCATTAATTCATTGTTAATTTTCTATTTTTTTTTCATTAAAGAACCTAATTTTCATATCAGTTGGCTTCATCTAATAAAAAAACCTTTACAATGAAGAATGATAAAAACATAACATCATGGCAAATCATAATTGTCATAAATTAATTTTCATTTCTCCTTTTATTCCAATGCTAGTGCACTCTTTCTTTACAAGTGTGCGCGAAAAGCAAAACAAGGTAGGGTGTAATACATGAAATTATACAAAGTTTCTTTTTTTGCACGTGGTCGTGAATAGTGTAAAATGAGACGGAAAGAGACAATTACTGTCATAAAGATGGAAAGGGCACTTGCCGGTGTTCGACGAGAGACGAGAAATAGAAGGATGGGCAATCAGAATTAAAAAGGAGAAGCATATATCATATATGATAATTATAAAGGCTGAAATGTTTTCATACCGTAAGTTTTTATAAAGGCCAAGCTGGACGTACATGTAGGTTTTCATCGGACTGTGAGTAGATGTTGTTTCTCACTGGCCGCTAGGTGGTACAACGGCTATACTGTCAGTGACATCTACTCACATCAGCCAGATGAAGACCTACGTACAGATTGGTCGTAAGCTTATGCTTTATAATTATCGTATTTGATCCAATTACCAAGCTATTGGACATTTCTGCTGAGATACATGTAAGTATGTACGTAGCAAAATAGTTGATTCTAATTAATGAGAAATTGATTTTCCATCGCTTTAAGCTGCCTTATTTGATTGAATAAAGGCTTCTCTTCCATTACTTTACCTCCCAAAATTTTTTGTCAGCTGTTTCATGCACATCAAAGTTACAATAATGGATTCTTCCAACAGCAATAACTAAACATCATGTATAATAGAGTAGCCCGAAGCGAGGTTAGGCCCCTGCGAGTCCTCAATAACCCTGAATTAAACTATTGAGTGATACAAACAGTGAGGTGTAATAAAGTAAGATTAAAAAAAGTAAATTTCAGCTCTTACGTACCGCACTACACATGCGAGTCAGCGCGGTTTACATTCGATGGTCATTTCCCTGATATAGTCTGGGTGTTAACGCTCTCGTCTCCTGAGAGACTGAGGATCAGCCCAGCTACCATATGAGGCTCTGAAAGCTAGCAAATGAACAAAATCTTTCACTGCTAGACCAGAAACATTGCCGAGGTGTGTACAAATTATATTAATTGGAGAGGCAGAATGGTGGTGTGCAGTTGAAAAGAGAACAGGACATCAAAAATTAGTGAACATCAGAGACGGTAAATCAACAGCGAGTAAGTACGAGAAAACACAGATATAAGGGAACCTATCCTATAAAAAAAAAGAAAAAAATGGGTATTGATCCCAGAGAATAGTATTGTCAAGTCTTAGAGTCTATGTATGTAAAAATCAAACGACGGGCACACTCCTGACCTTTATTTGCCATTTCTATGGAAGTGACAGAGTGAGGGGAGGGGGGATTATTGCATTCCTAGGCAGAGGTTGTTATAACATCATCTGTCTCATACTCTGATGAAGACGTCTTGTGAGACATTGAATCATTGAAGTGGTTATAATTCTATTTTAGCTCTTGTTTGAAGAATCTGTTATTGTAACTTTCTGCATTACTTCACTGTTACTGCAAAATTCACCCAGAAGTAAGTTTTGTCATCTGTTTCATTCTTCCCTCAGACATCGTGGTCGTCATTCATTTTAGTGTATAATGTAGGTATACATTTATCTTATTTTGATTATTTCCAGTAGTGTTATGTATCAGTTTTGTTTATTACAGAATCAATATTGTATTTAATTATGTTTTTAAAAATTAACATATTATGGCTTATTTACTGTATAATTTCTAAGAAAGACATAAGGTATTTTAGCTTTAAATTTTGTGTGTATGCGGAGGCCAGTGAAATGTCAGTTTCTGTATTCCTCGCACCGACAGTATTTTCAGTATTTTTCCCATTATAATTTTTGACTTTCCTGATTAGTTTGTATACTTTGGAGCATTTTAGCTTTCAAATGAGGTAGTGTTAATATATCACTAGAGTTCTCTTCGTTGTAATTGTTATCGCATATCATTTAGTCAAAAACCATTCGTACGGTCATCAGAAGTGTAGCCTACTGTCCCAATGTCACGCCACTGCTGGAGGATAGCCTCCGCAGATTTCCCTACGCTTGCCGATTTTGTGGCACTTGTGTCCATGTACTGCCGATCTTATACTCAATGTCATCTCTGCATCTTTGTTTTGTTCTTCCTTTGACTCTTCTTGATATCCATTCTGTTGTTTTTCTGGATTCCTGGTCTACTTATTGGTGTTTATTCGAATCCTAGCAAGATGTCCTGACCATCGAAATTTTGCAGTTTCTGCTATGCTAACAGTGTCTTCCACCTTTTTGATCTGATAATTTCATTCTGGATCTTATCTTTCGGTGTTATATTGAGCATCGATCTTTCCGTGCTCCTCTGGGCCAAGGCCAGCCTTTCTCTCTGATGGGAGGGACCATGTCTCCGATCCGTACGTCACTGTGGTATGATTACTGTATCCATGATCTTCTTCTTCAAGCACGTGGGCATTTTTTGACCGTTTATGCATTGGTAGATTTTTCTGGTCATCACATTTCCTGGTGCCAATACCCTTCCCCAAAACTTGTATTCTTTGACTTCTTCCAGTTGTTCTCGGTTAATGTTCCATTTCCCTTTTTTTCCTCTGACAATTTGTGAGACATGATCTTTGTTTTTCTTTTTGATCTTTTTCATCCAGTCTCTCTTTCTTTGTTTTCAGGACGTCGAGCATATTCTTGAGTTGATGCTTACTTTCAGCCCACTTTCTGTAAATAGAATTTGCAGGCAATATCATCCTGTTAAGCAGAAAGTGACCATCAACCCAAGAAACATCCAAACTTTTAGCATTTACCCTGATATTACATAGGAAAGGAATTTTTAAGAGAGATTGAATGTCTTAAATGTCTTACTTTCAAGTTGAAACATCAAGGGTATGAAGACTTGCAGGGAGAGAGAGGGAGAGGGAAGTCTTTTTTTATTTGTTTTCAGGGGATAGCGCGAACGCAGTCCCCCACAATAAAAAATTACGCACCCGAGTTACCCCTATTTGGGGTAATCGCAAGGGTCAGCCAAACCGGAGTGCAATGGTAAGGCCTCGCCCTGGAAGAACCGCCTTAATGATCACGGTTAACTTCTGTGCCAGGTAAGTATGCTGAGGAGTATTTTGTCTCACATTATATTTGCCATGCTAATTCCGACGTCAGCAAGCCGATTTGTCGGAATATCAGCGTCGGCACTTAGGTTAATAAATATGGATCGTTATGGATAATGCATTGTGGGCTAATTTATTTCAAAAAAATTATTGTAATAATATTTTGATTATTTTAGATAAGTGTATGAAAATCGTATTATTTTCAAAGTAATGAATTTACATTAAATTTGTAGCTTTTAACGACCACTTCCGGTTGTGTGTATGTTGTGGCCTCGTTTTGAAAATGTCAGCAAAATGCCCTAGATTTATGTAGGTCACTCAGCATAAGGATGAGGGTAAGGCGACCATTGTTTAATAAATGCTTCTTGTAAAGAAAACCTAGGTTTTTTAAAAGAGCAGTGGTTGCCGTTTATTACAATGGATGCCTGATGCCTGGCCAACTCTGACCACTACTAAAGACAAAAATTCCATCGACCACCGGCATCAAGGAGCACTCGGTGAACCAAACTACAGTGTAGAACACAGTGATATATTGGTTTAGGCCTAAATGCACGACGTCCGTGCTCCGCTAGGCTATCTCACCTAATTTGAAGTGATTGCTAAGTTACTAAGACATCGCTGAAGACATAAGATAAATGTCTGACCTGACCAATAAAGAAATTCCAACCCAAAACAAAGAGTTTGACCTCATTCCGATAATAAATGCACTGCAGTGTTTTATACTCCGTTTATAGCATCCGTAATGGGTTGGATAGTCATTCAAAGAGCAGACCCTTGCACAGAAAGATGTCTGCAGACCCTTGCACAGAAAGATGTCTGTGGTCTAATAATAAAGGACACTCTTCTAGGCCTAGTGTAAATACGAATTCCTTCTTTCTCTGGTAGACAAGCTTAATTAGGCCTACTACGGCCACTTAAAGCTTAGCATCAATAAAAGAAATTAGAAGTTGTACGGATTTGACCTCATTCTGATAATGACTGCGCTGCAGTGTAGCCTCCTACTCTTTACATAGTACCAAGGTGCATCTCATGAGGTTGTAACGGGGTGGAGCCAAGATAGGAGCTTCTTCCTTGGGTTGACCGACATTGCACTAAGATGTTTTGTAATAATAACGTTATGTCCAAGTCTAGCGTGAACTTTGCGCGGTGGATAGGCCCATAGATTGCAGTCGTTATGCATAAATATTTATTTTCAAATTTTCTAAATTTGACGATTTCGTCTATTTGAATAATTTTACTAGTGCATTAATGACAGCAGTACGCCAACTAAATTTTGAGCGTTTAGAGGTCGATAACTCGAAGGCGTCGCAATTTGCGACAGCGCGCTAAGAGTGATAGGCCTACCTAGTAGGCCTACATAGGCCTACCAAGACGAGAGATGTTAAAACATCTCTCGTACTGGTATGTACTAGGTACATACACATTTATGATACATATTAAAACATGTCTAGTACTGGTATGTATCATAAATGTGACCGTGGCAAAATGCTGGTCACTGAAGCCTGTCCGTTTAGACAAGCTTCAGTGAAGATAGAGGGCAACCTCACTCACTTCCCTCGGCTTTTCTACATGTACGTAGCGTCCCTAGGAAAAAACTCGGATATTACCTCGATTTAGTCCAGACATTCTCGACTATATCTCGGTTCAATCAGTCGAGACCTCTAAACTACTGAAAGTCGAAGACAGAGTCATACATGTAGCCTCCTTGGCCTCAAGAAAATAATGACTTTGCGTATTATTCCAGGTAAATTTAAAATCTTTCACACTACTAAAATTTATAATAAACCTTCTCATTCAACAATAAATATTTGTCAATTCATTACACAAAGTTATATCATACAGCTTTGCTGTTTACCTCTTAGATGTAGAATGAATTGGGTATGCTTTGAAAAAAAAGGGAATTATTTTACATTGACGTCACACGTGTGCGTATAAAATAATATTTGTTATTAATTTATCTACCTTTATATCGCAAGTTATTATTTACCTGTTGTTTTTTAGCTGTCCATTCTCCTTCTTTGTCAGAAATATCGGTCAAGATCAAATGTATTTCCCTTCTGAACTTGTAATAAACACTTTAATACGTTGAAAACCAGTGAATGTTTATTCCCAAAATCGCCTCGCCGTCAGAATTATCACTGAAATGTAGAATTATTACTCCTGTTAACTTGTAATAAACATCCGTCTGACTTTGATTATGTTCTGGAACAGCCTCGACGTCAGAAATATTAACGAAAGTTAGAAGTATTAGTCCCGTGGACTTGTAACAAAGATCCGTCTGACTTTGATTATATTCCAAAACTGTCTCGTCTTCAGAAATATTAAAAAGTAAATCTATTTCTCCCTTGGACCTTTAAAATATATTTGCCTGAATTTGACTTTTGTTTCCAGTCCGACACTCCTTCTTTATCAGAAATGTCAATGAAAAGTGAAGGTTTCGCCTTGGGGCCTTTTGTTCCGCAGCAGTCCCAGCTAGGTGTGGCCAAGTCGAGTCGTACATGGCAGTGTCGACAGTTGATTGAATACTGTTCAAGCGAGTTGAATTGGCCTTCCACATCAAGTATTTAACACATTTGACCAAATTAGTCAATCATAACGTAAGATTTTGGCAAAAGGTTGTCAGCGGACGTGGACGAGTTTATTCAATATAACATCTCTAGCGATCTCTAGATAGCAGGAACACTTCATTCGGTTTTAGGGGTGTTTTAGGATGAAATAACAGTATTTTTTTGGTATGCATGTGAAATGATACACTGTCACCCTTTTGCGTTGTATGCTTTGAACAGCTTTCGCAGACGCTCGAAGTGTTCTGGTGACAGTGTATTATCCCGCGAGTATCATCTTTTGTCTCGAGGCAATTATTTGCGACGAGTCACCCCGACGCAATTGCCTGTGCGTATGCGTAATTCATCGTTTACATTGTCTGTAGTGTTATTAATCATGACGACAAGTTTTGGTTGTTAGTCATAATAGCTTGTAACAAAAATTTGAATCTTATGAAAAATTGCGTCACTTGGTATCTGATAGAAAGGATTAAACTGAAACAATGAGTTCTCGGCGTCTCAAAAACCAGATATTGCGTTTTTTCATGGGAATTTGCACGTGAGGAATGCTATTTATACAGGTTATTATTTCATTAAAGAGAAAAAATTACACTGATGACTTTTTTTATGAAATCACGTTTTAAAAAATTTTTAAAAATCATTTATTCACTGATATTTTCTGATTAAATTCAACTGTGTATTGTTTTTAAATAATCATAAGTTAAGCCTTTTTCACAATCTACACATGCAAGAGACACAGTATTCGGTCACACTGTCACCTTCCTCATTGTTTGTTATTATGCAGTGCAATGTATCAGTAATAGTATCAGTTCACAATAACATGCTTCGCTTATTGAATGGCGATATAGTTGCAATAATTAAATGTCTAACAACTTCAATAAATTACTAATAATATTTTGTTTGACATTTATTTATTCGAATATTAGTATTTTAATTGTGACATTACCATAAATTTAAATAATCTCTTTATTATCTACATAATTATGTGTGCTGTGGCGTTACGTCGTCACTTTATGCGGTAATCTATCTTTAGTAGAGTTCAAGGCGGTGCTTCCGTCTACGCAAAAAATGCGTTGCTATTGCGAAGGTCTCGAGAGAGCATGGGGTGCAACTGCCATTGCAAATAGCGATATATCATAATGTTTGTGTGCGGTCGCAATTTGCCGAGCCCAGAACAGCTTTAATTGCTGTTACGTATAGTTACTACCAGTTATAAAGCATCGAACTTAGAAAATGAATTATTTTGAATAAGTCTCGAGGTGAGTTCCGGGCTCTTTTCAAATGGATGATATGTTAATCAATAATCGAGGAATAGAAGACGAAGGCCTTGGAATGAACATATGCCGACATCTGCTTTTTAATTAAGACGCAAAATACTGAACGAAGGTCAGTTGCGTAGCTGCATTTTAATAAAGTATTAAATGTTATACAGTAATCATGAATAAGCTTAGACACTCCATCCAAACTATAAGTTAATTCTTGTGTTGATCAGCTTATATATATATATATATTTCGCACGGGACGGACATTTTTAACTGATTTATTTGATCCTCCTTTGCCTTGTTATTTAATTCCTTTGGCTGCCAACTCCTCCTTTACCCGTGAAAAGTACGTTGGGTCAGGGTATCCATACCTACAACAAAAATTAACACATCTAGAAATAATGAAGACGGTATTATTTCAGCTTTAGTTTGTAGAATGTGTCCATAATTGCTAACACATGCGCACATTTTTTTACATTTTCCAAGTTTTTTTTAGATGCTGCACAAATAAATGGATTAAACTTGATTTTGCTGAAAAGCAGTTTTCTTCATCATGGCATTGTGCACTTCTTGCTAGTGAGGATGACATATCGAGTTTGAGTTGAGAACAGAGCTACAGAAGTAAAGGCCACAGAAGTTCACAACTTACTCTGCAATCAACAAACAAGTGAAAGACTACAATCAGCAAAGGCAAACCTAGACACAGCATATCTAGAAGCCAACCAAGACTATCTTCAAAAGAATATGGATGAAATTAAACACGAGATTAAAGGAGACAACATCTTTTCTGCATGGAAAACCATTAACAACATTACAGGTAGAAAAAGAGCAAATGAGTGTCAAATGCAAGTAAAAGGCACATCTCAACAGGAGAGACTTGACAACTGGTACAAAACCTTTGAAAATCTCCTAGGAAATCCACCAGTAGTTTCTGCTGAAGACGAAGAGATTCAACAAACCTTTGATGAGCTTCCAATTCGAACAGATAGCTTTGGTGAAGAAAAATTGAGGGAAGCTAAAGATCAGCTTAAAAATGGAAAGAGCTGTGGGGCAGATGAAATACCAGGAGAGGTTATTTTTCTATCGCCACACAGAAGCAGCAGCAAATAGATTTCTGCTCTAGGTACCCACACATGGCTCATTGGGCACACGAAACAAAACTTACGTCCAGGTTCTCCTTGAGGACACTGGCTTGGAGCATATAAATGAGCTTGCCAGTATCATGGAGGACCGTAGGGCCTGGAAGTCTATTTAAGCTGTCACCTAATTAATGATGTTGACGGTCGTCTGCGGTCGATATGATTAATGGATTGTTTGTGTACATGTACTTTGGGTAGCACATAGCACCTGGCAGTAGAGAATCGAGTCAAATTTAAATATCTCTAACGAGATCTACTCTTTAAAAGCGAGCAACACCTTTTCCAAACCCAAATATGATCCATAGACTAAAACATACTAAATGATAACACAGAATTATTTTTGTCTGAATCCATTTCAGAAGAGCTAGAAGCTGACCCGATCAAATAATTACAAATTATTTCAACTTACTTTGATACCCCTCCCGTGCGGCTAGTTTTTTGGTGCACGTCATTCCACACTACGACATTGTCCTGTCCGGTCGTGACGGACCGACCAATGGTGAATAGAAGCTTGGCCTTAAAGGCTCTGTCTAATAGTTTAAGAATCTCCCTGCCTTCTGCATTATTGGGCAGAAATGCTCTGCGTCTTGTACCTTTGTACGGCTCGCCTGGATTAGGATGCTCCTTCTGGCAGTAGAACATAGTTATAAGTTATGAGGTAAAGAAACTTATATATGCTAATATCGTTTTTCCATCTAGACAATCGCTTATCAAATGTACATATTAGTACCAAAAATTCGTTCAAGATCTGACTGCCTTTGAATTTGCTCATTCATTTCTTGTGTCGAATATAATGCAATTGCACAAGCAAAAAAGCACCAAAAATGAAATGAATTCGGTTACCTTCTGCTTCCCCGAAGGAAAATCGTAATCGATGACAANATATTTCGCACGGGACGGACATTTTTAACTGATTTATTTGATCCTCCTTTGCCTTGTTATTTAATTCCTTTGGCTGCCAACTCCTCCTTTACCCGTGAAAAGTACGTTGGGTCAGGGTATCCATACCTACAACAAAAATTAACACATCTAGAAATAATGAAGACGGTATTATTTCAGCTTTAGTTTGTAGAATGTGTCCATAATTGCTAACACATGCGCACATTTTTTTACATTTTCCAAGTTTTTTTTAGATGCTGCACAAATAAATGGATTAAACTTGATTTTGCTGAAAAGCAGTTTTCTTCATCATGGCATTGTGCACTTCTTGCTAGTGAGGATGACATATCGAGTTTGAGTTGAGAACAGAGCTACAGAAGTAAAGGCCACAGAAGTTCACAACTTACTCTGCAATCAACAAACAAGTGAAAGACTACAATCAGCAAAGGCAAACCTAGACACAGCATATCTAGAAGCCAACCAAGACTATCTTCAAAAGAATATGGATGAAATTAAACACGAGATTAAAGGAGACAACATCTTTTCTGCATGGAAAACCATTAACAACATTACAGGTAGAAAAAGAGCAAATGAGTGTCAAATGCAAGTAAAAGGCACATCTCAACAGGAGAGACTTGACAACTGGTACAAAACCTTTGAAAATCTCCTAGGAAATCCACCAGTAGTTTCTGCTGAAGACGAAGAGATTCAACAAACCTTTGATGAGCTTCCAATTCGAACAGATAGCTTTGGTGAAGAAAAATTGAGGGAAGCTAAAGATCAGCTTAAAAATGGAAAGAGCTGTGGGGCAGATGAAATACCAGGAGAGGTTATTTTTCTATCGCCACACAGAAGCAGCAGCAAATAGATTTCTGCTCTAGGTACCCACACATGGCTCATTGGGCACACGAAACAAAACTTACGTCCAGGTTCTCCTTGAGGACACTGGCTTGGAGCATATAAATGAGCTTGCCAGTATCATGGAGGACCGTAGGGCCTGGAAGTCTATTTAAGCTGTCACCTAATTAATGATGTTGACGGTCGTCTGCGGTCGATATGATTAATGGATTGTTTGTGTACATGTACTTTGGGTAGCACATAGCACCTGGCAGTAGAGAATCGAGTCAAATTTAAATATCTCTAACGAGATCTACTCTTTAAAAGCGAGCAACACCTTTTCCAAACCCAAATATGATCCATAGACTAAAACATACTAAATGATAACACAGAATTATTTTTGTCTGAATCCATTTCAGAAGAGCTAGAAGCTGACCCGATCAAATAATTACAAATTATTTCAACTTACTTTGATACCCCTCCCGTGCGGCTAGTTTTTTGGTGCACGTCATTCCACACTACGACATTGTCCTGTCCGGTCGTGACGGACCGACCAATGGTGAATAGAAGCTTGGCCTTAAAGGCTCTGTCTAATAGTTTAAGAATCTCCCTGCCTTCTGCATTATTGGGCAGAAATGCTCTGCGTCTTGTACCTTTGTACGGCTCGCCTGGATTAGGATGCTCCTCCTGGCAGTAGAACATAGTTATAAGTTATGAGGTAAAGAAACTTATATATGCTAATATCGTTTTTCCATCTAGACAATCGCTTATCAAATGTACATATTAGTACCAAAAATTCGTTCAAGATCTGACTGCCTTTGAATTTGCTCATTCATTTCTTGTGTCGAATATAATGCAATTGCACAAGCAAAAAAGCACCAAAAATGAAATGAATTCGGTTACCTTCTGCTTCCCCGAAGGAAAATCGTAATCGATGACAATCGTGTCTGAGCCCTCGTAGCCTGGAAGAGACTCGCGTTCATAGCTGACACTCATGGTTCCTTTTGGTTGGTTCCCTCTTTGTTCGCCCAGTAGATCACCGCAGATCGGGCACTTGTTCTGGATCTTGAGGGCTCGGGACAAGCACTCCTTTAATTTGATGTACAGATTTAAGATCTGTATAAACCTGTTTATCTCAATAACATTAAAATCCCTCTAATTAATGCACTTCATCTAAAAAAATGTCATAGTGACGTGGTTCGTTGTGTTCTATGGAAGCAATCGTCACATTTTATAAATATTTTAGTTTCATTTCCATTGATGTAAAACTTTATACTAAGATCTGATATCTACCTTGCAAAAACTGTGTCCACATCGTTTCAGATCTTGTCTCTCTGTAAATGTATCCATGCAAATTGGGCACACAGCTTCGTCTTCATGGTCTTCAAACGGAGACAAATCAGTACCCCAATCGTATGCTGAAAAATTCGTATTTTGTTTTTGTCATCATATCATGATAGAATAATTTCATTTTTAGTCTGCTTACAATGTATGAGTAAACATTAATGAAAGCGATCTGTCGATCTGCGAACTGCTTATACTTTTTATGTACATTTGTAGTGGAGTTAACCATTACACATTGCACTATATCAAAAGCACCGCTTTCGAAGGATTGATAGAAATTACCAGACTCTGTGTCATGGGTCTCACGGGATGCCGTCTCAAACTGGTCAGTAGGATCGCACAGAGGAGAACTGTATACGTCATCTGCTTGGTACAAAGCTCCACGCTGATATACAACACCAGAATCTTCATCGTCATATTTCCTTGCACTGTATTTGGCCGTGGAGGTGTCATAACCTACTGCGCCTGCGCCGTTGTCATGCCATCCCAGCGGCGTTGCTTCTGCTCCCCCAAACGTTGACTGCTTTACTTTCATGTCATCAGAGAAATCATCGTCCTGCTCGAATATTTTGCTATAGATAGAGATTGTTTCTTGACCAGTGTCAACCATTCGGATTTGTCGAAGTGTGTTCCGTTCTTGTTCGACTTTCCTTTTCAGGGCTCGTTTCATTGCCGCTGCCCCCTCGTGTTTCGGGACGCCATAAATGCCTGCGACAGATAGTTCTTTATATAATTCGAGCTGACCAAAACCCAAAATTAATTCAAATAAAGAGGAAAATCAACTTACAAACTTTAAAACAATTTTTAATCCATCTAGTGTAAAATAACCCAAAATGTGATGTAATTTTGGATCAGTGGCACGTGCAAACAAGAAAAAATGAAATAATTTCTTCCTCATTTTTGTGCAAAACATCACCTAACATTTAATAAATTTATTAGAACATCATTTTTAAATTGGTCTCATTTGTTGATTTAATCGCCGCACCGTAACGAACGATTTGAATTTGTGAAAGTCTAAAGTGAGAATTTTTTTATAAAGAAATCGACTCATTCGATAAGTGATAAACGGAGTTGATATGGGACAACTCACCAGTACTGATGGCAGGTATTGCGACACTGTGAAGATGAAGGTTACCGCATTCAACAACGATATTTTTCACAGTTTCCTCCAGAAGGTCTTTATAACCAGGCATTCGCACATGGGGTCCCACAGCATGGAGCACATAACGACAAGGTAGACGGCCGGCTCCAGTGGTCACTACGTTCCCAGTGGGGATACGTCCACCATACGCTCGGCGCAGTTCAGCGGATTCTTCTCTCAAGCTGGGCCCAGCGGCGTCGGCGATAGCTTTGGCTACTCCTCCGCTGTGATGAAGTTCTTCATTGGCCGCGTTGACGATAGAGTCCACTCGCTGTTTGGTGATATCTCCTCTATGAAATGTTAGTTCAGCACCATTGTTGAAGTAAAACACGAACGGAGATGTTTTCATTTGATTTTGTGCAGTCTCTTTGATTATAAGTGATCTGTTGATCGCCTTATTTAGAGGTGATGGCTTTTCGATCGGTATTGGACTGCTGCTGGCGGTCTGCCTTAAGCTTGGTGTGTATGCTGCTGTCGGGCTGGTAGCTTTGTATAGTGCTTTGCTGATTGCTTTAGGTTGCCGAGACAACGATTGCTTTTCGTAATTTTTTTGTGCGATGGCCTCACCAGAAAATTGCTTTGACGCCGACCCTATAGGCTTATCAGGCTTTAAAGTCTTTAAAGCTGAATTTCTCGAAGAGAGAAACTTTTTAACGATAGCATCCATGTGGATTCTATCACCAATGATTTCTAAATGTCTTGGTGAATTTTTAATAGGCCTTATTATAACCTGCGAATATGTTTTTTTAATTTTGTTCAACATGCTAGGTTTTTCGACGGAGCAAATCACATGTGAAAGTTTACTGTGCACTCTGGCGCGTAAGTTTGTCAAGCGGCCCAGTCCACCGTCACTGTCATGTTTACTTTTACCAACAGCATGCACCCTTCCCCTATTCCAAAAGAGGACTACGGTACATTCTTCTTCAATAGCGCGAACAGCCCCCTTCTGGCGGATTCGCAAGTATTCAAACTCCATAAATCTCATTGAAAGTGTACTTTCGTTTTGTAGTGGTGTTCGTCTATTCATGTTGAGACGGAGTTTTCTGTGCAGTCGCCCCTTCAATAAAATATACTATTTGCTCAGTTTTGATTGATCTAGTTGCGAAGAACAACTTAAGAAAATAAAAGATTCCAACATACCAATTACTTATGTATCTTTTCTTCATTTCCCATGGAATTTATAAATCGAAACCCTTTGTTTTTCTGCATGACACACATGAAACAAAAAGTACGTCTTCGTGTGCAGCGTGATGATACTGGAAGGTACAGTGTACTTGGCTTTTTAAAAATCTCAAAAGCCTACATGCATTAGCAATCCACTGTACCACCAACTTGAAACGCTTCTTAATTGAAAATTGCACTGCTTTATGAAAACATAACAGGGACCAAGGGCAGAAGCCCGGGAAGATGTCCGTGCCAAGTCTACAGCATCCTGAGCTTCAGAGATAGCTTGAAACAAGTATCTACTATATATAGCCTGGCCTTGTCGTTTCAAGTATGTATACTTTGGAATACTTACAGCTGTCTAGAAGATTTATCTAGAATAAATGAAGCAAGCGTTTGTCCTAGTCCAGTGTATTTATTGGGGAATTCCCCAACCGAATTCAGTATAGAGGGCGCTTGGTTAAAGACGAACAAGAAGGCGTAAAGTTTGTGCTGTTTTCGATTCAGAAAATCCTGCATATTCATAGTATGTGAAAGTAAAAAAAATCAAGAGCTGGCGCGCCCATTAAGTATAAAAATGTTTCTCACTGGTTCGTTTTTCACACACACACACACACACACACACACACACACACAAGATAAATAAATAACCAGCGTGTTACGTCTAACATGATAAAAACTGCTCAAAGCCAGTAATCTACATAATGTAATTTCATTAGGGGTGGGTTAGGATCTGGGTTTAATTTTACTGCTGGGTCACTTTGAAAGAATTTGAATATAAATTCTTCCTATGTACACATTTCAGTAACTTGTAAATAAAGACCCCCTGTCAGAAAATGGTGAGTGTCAAATAAAAAGGGCGCCAACTCCATCCTTCCGCCTTCCCCCATGAATTTAATTGGACTAACACTCATGAAAGAGATGTCACTTCTTCATCAGTTCTCGGTGACCAGGGAGTGGATGCCAGGCGGTAAGGATATTAATAAGTATACGGATGTTTTAGTTTCAACCGATTGAGCATAAAATTCTAGACTTATTTACGTTAGGCATTTGACGATAACTAAGGCCACACTTTTTTATTTTTATGGATGACATCCTCTGGGGACCCCAAAATCGGTGCGAGCGGGCGAAAAAAAAAAACAGTCCAAAAAAAAAACTGCTTAAGAAAAGTTATGTTTTCAGTACACAGCTGAAAACACTAATTTACCACAGAAACACGTATCAAACTAACAATATGTCTTTATCCATGCTCTCAAAATATTAAAGCATTGTGAATAGGGCCTACTTCGTAGAAAGGTAAAAAGTCATGAATATATAGGCCTATGCTGCATATTACCAAATCTATTTAAGGTAATTTCATGCATTCTGTTGGTATAGCAATCAATTCTCGCTATTGGCATATTGTTCTTTAGTAAGCGGTTGGGCGTCGACTTAAAGATCGTAGGTACAGTGCTATAGGCCAACGTCATTTGTAGGCGGTATTCTTTGGGAATGCAGCAAGGTATTCTAATATGAATAATGTGAGTTTTATGGAAAATTACTAGTGCAGAAAAATCGTTTTAAAGCTTGTTTTGACTAATTATCGTAAGACAAAAGTGATGAGCTCAAAAGGTCATTTTGAAGTTATAATAGTTTACTTAAATATTTTAACGATAGTGAAATTTTATTCGTGTCTTTTTGTACATTTTTAAGATTAAGTCCCTTTAGGAAATTGTTTATAAAGATATAAAAGTAGCCTCAATCTATTGGTCTTGTGAGTGAGCTCATTCTTTTATACAATGAAATAATAAATGGTCAAGATTACATTGATAAGTTGATATTTTCCTAATGTCGATTTGAATTTTAAATTTTTGAGTAACAGTCGTCAGTTTGAGCCCAGCAAATGAAATGATTTCACTCTCTTTCAACTAATGAACAATTTTTGAAAAATTAAGTGCGCATTAGACCTTTATAAAGAGAAATTCTGGAAATTTCAGCAGCTTTCACTTCATCAACAATATTTACCCTCATCCAAAACCGCTGAGATAAGTCCAATATGTAAACCCGTGTTTAAGTTCTAAACTTCAAATTTCACGATTGAAATTCGTCAGTCTATTTCCATTACGGGAGGGACTCTAGTAATAGAAATTTGATTTTTATTAACTAAGCCAAGGAGGTAATTCTGTACATGGTTTACTGTGCATAAAAAACAGTAGTAGCACAGAGCTCTACCTGAACTTCACTGTTAAAAGATAACTCGAAGAGTCGTTTTGGGTTCCACGGCGGTACAATATAAAATCAGCGACATGCAGGGTTGAGATAAGTATGGCTTTAGTCCAGTTTCTTTTTCCGTTCGTTTTCTGTTCGGACGTTTTATGAATAAAGTGCTCGCAAATTGCGCCCCCTTTTTGATTGTTGTGAGACTCCCTCCCGTCCTCCTGACACTTGTCTCGCCTGCCACCTATATAAAATACGGTGGAAGAACATGTTGGACAAAATGTTCATTCACAGAAATGGGAAAAAACAGAAACAAAAGTAAATACTTCCCTCCCCCGCTACTTTTCTCTTTCTTTTCTTTCTTTATCATATCAGTGTTCAGGAAGCAGCGAAAAGGCTAATAGGCACTGTGTCTTTTTTTAAACCAACCGTATACTTAGATAAGGCTTTAAAATATAAAATGTCATGGACCGAGGTCTTAGTAGTCATGTGTCTCGCTTCCTTTGTGACCTTTGTCGAAGTTTCATTTTTCCTGAAAGCCCTCCTTTCTCTCTCTCTTTCTCTCCAGTACACGCCTGTTATACAAAACAAACAAACAAAGATATGCTGTAATAGATTGTATTATTTGTTAATTTCGCTATTGATCAGTATTTCACACGATATATTAGCATCTACGAGATGACACTTTAGACATAATTGATAAAGACGACGCATCACAATTTACAACATGTACCTTATGAAATTACTGGTTGCAGTGCTTCATAATAGCAGTTTACGTTTGTCTATTTCAATTTGGATACCATGTATTGGCAAAAATTATATATATTTCGCAACTTAGGAACTTAAAGTTTAATTGATATGTACATGTAGCACAATTTACGAAGTACAACTCCCATGATGCACAGTTCACATCCTTCTACCAGTATCTCAATTTACTAATAATTATCTATTTCACAACGTATTTAGTTAAAACGTTTTAATGTAACATATTTAAACAGTTGTCAGTTAAAATTGCAATATATTTAGAAACAGGACGAAATACCGTCTATGCCTTTAGAATATTGAAAATTAGTTTAAAGATAAAAACATGCAAGATAAGCAGCTCATGGAATTGACGGGGTTGGGGAGGTGGGTGGGGGGTAACTTTAACAGATTTTACCTTAATCAACAACAATCAATAATCAAAAAAAAAAAACTTTGAATACACAGGTTCATTATGAACACAACCGAAGCCAGTCCAAATATTTTCTCTCAACTTCTGTTCGTCACACACATAATACATTAACCATTTCGTGCAAGAAGTTTCAGACAGTAAGTGAATTACAGTTAGTATCTGCCCTGAAGATGCATAATTTTGACTTTCCCGTTACTTTATACCCTTAGCAGCCAGCTCTTCTTTTACTCTTGACAAATAAGTTGGGTCTGGATAACCATACCTAAATAGTAAACATAGTAAAATTAATACAATATACGATAAGACACGGCGATCTACGAGTTAGAGAAACCAAAGTAATCCCTGGAAGGTTGCCATTCATTTCCGACAGTTGATCATTTCTGATGGGCCCAAGTTTTAATGGCCTGTCTAAATGGTAGGATTAAGTTCGTGTAAATAAAATTAAAAAAAAAGACTCAGACTCAGACTCTTGGTGTAAACTGGGAATTATCAAAAAAGTTCAACTACAAACATGAACAAACCTCTGTGGTCCTCCAGTACGATTCGTCTTAAAGTGCACATCATTCCACACCACGGTGTCGTCTTTCCCAGTGGTGACAGACCGGCCCACAGTGAAAAGGAGTTTGGCGGCGAATGCCCTCCTTAAAAGCTCTTTGACTTCACGGCCCTCAGCGGTATCAGGTAAGAAAGCCGTACGCCTGGTGCCTTTGTATGGATAACCTGGATGGGGGTGATCCTCCTAGAAAAGAATAATAATAATTGCAACTCAAGACAGCATTGCTGCGCTTTGTTTGTAACATGTCCATTATGTCTACTCTCTACAGCATTATCATCTGGTAGCCACCAACAAAACCGTTGTTGGAATATTATTTTCGCATTGAACCGCTTTACTATGAGTACCTGTTGAATCCCGTCGGGGAATATTATTTTGATAACGATTGTCTTGTAGCCCTCGTAGCCTGGCAAAGACCCGTGGTCGTAGCTAAAGTCTATATATCCGTCGGGTTGGTTCCCTCGCTGTTCCCCCAGCAGATCTCCACAGATGGGACACTTGTTTTGTACAGCAAGCGCCCTCTCTAGGCAATCCTGGAATGTTTTAACATTAAAATGCTTTTTAGTTAAAAAGAGTCTAGGGGGTTCTTTTTCGAGTGTTGATTACATATGAATACAAAATGTTCAAATTTCACTGCCAAAAAGTGTTTTTAATCGTTTGGTTGATCTACTGATCGCTTCTGCCTTACAAAATTCCTTAACTCTCTCTGCCAGAGGCCTGCGTGATGACGTGTTGCTGTGCAAAAATCTTCATATGCATCTGACAAACGGAAATGTGCACAGCTAGTGATTAGCCAGAAAGATACCTATGGACATTTAGCGAAAGAAATTATCTGTGTGTTCCTGGTAGAGGGTCCAAAATTCCTGGGGAAAGTTACATATATAAAACTAACCCAGTATTACTTTACATTGCACCACTTTATGGTATATAACAGCAACTGGGAGAAAAAGTATTCAGTAAGGATCATATTCACATGTAAAATTACATCATGGTTTTACGTGCCTCACCTTGCAAAAGCTATGTCTGCAACGGTCCAGTGTTGTTTTCTGAGTGAATGTGTCCATACATATCGGGCAATTGTCATCCTCCGCCTCTATCTGCACTGTAACCTGACTGGGACCGCCATGATGGTCAAAATGGTGATCTGGGGGTCGTTGTACTGATGATATTCTCTCTTTATTATAGACATTGGTCACCACACTGCCCACGGTCGCACCCGAATCTGAATGCTTTTTGGACCTTCTCTCTTCAAGAAAACTTGCATAGTTTTCCTCGTGGTCCAGTAAGTAGTCATCCATGCTTTGTAACTC